CTAATTTCAGCTTTTTGCAGATAATTTCTGCTTTTTTGTGCTCCTTTTTGCTTCTTTCAGCAAATGTTTTTTTTCTGCTTTCTTCTGCTAATTTAAGCTTGTGCTACCCTTTCAGCCTTTTTTTAAGCATTTTTAGCTAATTTTGTCTGTTTTCGGATAAATTCAATTTTTTTGTGGTCATTTCTGCTGTTTTCACCCTAATTAAATTGGCTGCTGATTTCAGCTTATGTTCCTTTCAGCTTTTTTCACTAGTTTCAGCTTTTTCTACTATTTTAACTACTGTTTATGATTTTGTGCTAAATTTAGCTTTTCAGCTAATTCCACTTTTTTATAGCTCATTTCAGCTTCACTTCCTTTGGGGTAGTTTAAGCTTCTTTCTGCCTTTTCAGATACTTTTCAGCTAATTGTTTTTGCTAAATTCAGCTTTTTTTAAGTTAATTTCCTAATTTTTGAGCTAGCTTCTGCTTATTTAAACCTAATTAAGAAAATATGTTATTTCTGCTTTCTTCTGCTAACTTAGGCTTGTTCTTTATCAGCTACATTTCAGTATGTTTTTAGCTAATTTCAGCTGCTTTTCAGCAAGTTCTTCAGCAATAAGCATTCACACTGCATTTTTGCAGGAAATGCAATTTCTCTAGTTTGGTCTGCTTTCTCCTCCATGTTGTTTTTGCAAGTTTTAATCCTAAACACAAGAGCAGCTCCCCACCACCCTATAAAGAGCTAAATAATGTAGCTGAGTAAATTGGTGACCGTTAAAACTCTTGCTTTTGTGTTTGTGTATTATGATTTTGATGATGGGAAAATTGTGACTATAAAAGAAGGCTAATGTCCAGCAACAATAATACTAAGCTTTGGCATTCAGACCCTGATTGATTAAGGGGCCCAGCATTTACCAGGAAAACATTCCTCACGCTTTGACACCCACAGCCACCATCCTGAAGCGTTGAAACAGTGCAGGTTAGTAGGTCTGTTGGGTTTTAGTGAACAGGACACCAAAATGTGATCCTACCATCTGCAGCCGGAGCTGGAGATGACAAGCCAAGTTTATCTTATTTACGATGATCTTGTTTTGGTGACATCATCTCCATTCACAACTTTTTAAATGCTTTTGGTCTTGTCCATAACGTCATGTTGCTGGTTGTAACCTTTAGCCCTTTGACTAACGAAAAGTAAAAATATGTTCAAAAAAATATTTACAACTTCAACACCAAAGAAAAGTTTGGATTTTGTATAAAGTATCAATATAAACAGAATTCAGTGACGTGCAAGTTTAATAAACCCATATTTTATTTGTGGAACCAAGTAAACACAAATGTTTAAACTAAGAATTAGTACAGTTTTTAGATAAAAAAAAAAAGGTAATTTGGAATGTTATGATGGCAAAACATGTCAAAAAGTGGAGACAGGGCCATGTTTCTATCTATGAAGCATCTTTACTTTTAACAACAGTTTTTAAACCTCGAGGAACTGAGGAGATCAGCTGCTGGAGCTTTGGGAGAAGAATGTTGTCCCATTCTTGTCTGATGTAGGATTCTAGCTGTTCAACAGTCCTGGCTACTTTTATTTGTCAGATTTGTTTCATTATGCACCATATAGGTTTAAACTGAATGCAGGCCAGTTCAGCTCTTCTACTATGAAGCCATGCTGTTGTAATGGTTTAGCATTGTCTTGCTGAAATATCATCAAGAAAATAAATGAGATGTAAGCAATTTGGATTAAACTGTAACATATGTAAGAACAGAAAAGTAGCATTTCCTGTTTGTTTTTTTACACATGCATTTAGAAACGTAAGCAGTTATTTGTGCAACTAAAGAAAATGGTTTCCAGCTGAAATGTCATTTATTGCAATAGCTTCAGTTTCCCAGTAGGACTGTGTGTGGGCTTCAAACCAGAGGGATGTTTGGATGCGTCTGTCACTTTGTGTCTTCATGCATGACTCTAAAAGATTAATTTGAAACGGTAACCTTCACCATCAGGACCCACATGAAGGAGAGCTGCAGGGAAGCGTCTGCCTTTTAAAGTGAAATTTGTTGCTCACTCTTAAATGCTGATGAGTTATCATTTAATTGAGTTTTGGTGTCACTTGTTTTCTTCTTTGACTCACAAAAATGTACATGCATCTGGTTTTGTGTAATTATTTTCCTTTTCGGAGACTCCACATCCTCTCTGCAGGTGTCCTGGTCCAATTCTGTCTTTGTGGTAATAACATAAATATTAATTTTCCACACAAGCCTGGTCACAGAGCATGAATCAAGATTTTCTTGCCTGTTTTGTCTACATGATTTTGATGGGTAGGAGTTCTGGCCTATGTTATTGGCTTACATGCTGGTGTGTAAGCCACTACTTTCCCACGTTGTGGAGTTGGGTCTCCCACAGGCCCCTCTCCGCCTCCCATTCTCTCTGCCCCCCCCCCCCCCCTTTTCCCCTCCCCCCCCCCCCCCATTTTTCCTCTCTTCGTGTTCTCTTCCTATTTTTTTGCATGCCTCTATCCTCTGTTCTGCACCTGTACTTAGCTCTGCAGGCCCAGCTGCTCATCTCGGCTCAGCCCTGTTGGCCGGCGCCCTTGTTGCGCTTGGCATGTCCTCTGAGAACCTGGGGGCCACACTTGACGTGCGAGGGCCGAGCGTGCCCCCGTGCAGGGAAGGCTCTCGTGGCCATGAGTTAAGAGCAGACGGATGAGGAGGGCTGTTGCCTGCAGAAAGACTTGCAGGAATATGCTGACTCATTTTAGTTTAGGCACAAGAAGTGAGCGGAGGCAGAAAGTGATGTTCAGCGTTAAGTCCAATTTGTAAACAACGCTGCACTTCACGCACTTCATGGGTGAACAATCCTAATATCACTCTGATTACTATTTGCCATCCGTGTCAGTTTGTCACAAATTAAATTAAAGCAATGTCACAATAGTCATAGTAGGTAGCATCGTTCTGCACAATATATCATAATTGATATCATCATTGCAGTATTAAACACTGGTATGGCAAAATTCTTTCAGTTTTTGTGCAGCTTTCATGTTGCATGACTTTAAATGGTCAAATAAATGCGTCTTACTTTGTTGATGAGCTAAATATTTCAATTTGGTGGGAAATCTATTTTTAAAATAGTGTGTTTTGATGCCTGGTATTTTGTGTGTTTGGATATTGACCCTAAATTACAAAACTTGCCACTTAGCTTTGGCATAAGCTCTCCAATAACTGATATTTGTTAAATACTGATATGCATTTGGTAAACAGTCGGACACAGATTGCCATCAACAAAAGATTAATATAATGTGTAGGAAATGTTTATGCCCCGTGCAGCAAGGTTTATGATAGATGAAGTAAATGTTAGGATGGGCAGTCACAGAAGGAGATTATTATGCTAACATTTTATCTCTCTTGGTTGAAGAAAAAAACATTTGCTTTTGTGAGGTTTTGTACATATCCAAATTTTGTTTATATGTAAAAATACTTGTTGAACACTGAGTGCCTCACAAAGTGTAAAAAACTGTTTACACTAGAGATGCACGATATTATCGGCATGGTATCGATATTGACCAATATTAGTGATAAAGCTAAATATCGGACAAAGGCAATTCCATCAAAATAACTCACCGATATAAAAGGTGATGTTTATATATATATATATATATCCAGATATATATATATATATATATATATA